CCCCCTATAAGATCATTGATTTTTCCGTTTTATCTGAATTACATGTTGTACGAGTCACTTAGATTTTACAAATATGTGAGCCATTCACAGCCCGGCACACGTATTTGTAAAATCTAAGTGACTCGTACAACATGTAATTCAGATAAAACGGAAAAATCAACGATCTTATAGGGGGGTCGACTGTACAGTGATCTAAAACAAAACCTGAATAAACCAGAAACATGCCTAAATAGAAAAAATTTGGAACATTTTCAGAAACTTGTCCAACATGGAAAAGGAAGAGAATTTTGGGTACAAAACATAAAACTTGACCTGAATAAAGAAAAAAAAAATTAAGATTCCATTAATGACAAAATAAGTAAAATTGCTCTAGGTATAATAGTCACTGCAAACCATGACAAATTGTATTCCAAGAATGATTTTAAACCTTGTCAGAGTAATGAAAGTCATGTGATGTGGACATACAGAGACACAGGGTGCATATTAGAATTAACCAGGAACAGAATAAATTACTTTTAAGAATCAAGAACTTTCAAGAAACATCACCAAATGATTGCTTATTTAGGCAATTGTTTGGTGATGTTTCTATATACATATCAGACTGTGAGATGTTTGTTGAACTTTCAAGAATTGAATTAGTTGCTGAAAATTGATTTTCTCAGAAACAATGAATTTAGTTATATAATTCATGAAAACAACGAGGATAAGGTAACATATGCTGTCAATATGAATGTCATGTATGAATTAGCTGATAACTAGTATTGAGTGTTCAAAAACAAGTTGATTAACATGTTGATAATTACATAGATTAAAGTTAATGATTAACTGGAGCATTAAAATTCCTCAAGAAGTCAAGACCACAAAATAACTTTATTTCTGTATAATTGTAAGGAGATTAGAATTTTGGAAATCAAATGATTATGGAGAGCAAAATAAAACATAACACTAGTTCTTAATATGCAAATTGTCTTGGTTGTTGTCATGTAAGTTTGTAGAGATTTTGACCAAAAAGTATATGAATACCCCATACAAGTTCTTGGAAACAAGAACTTTTTGCAATCAAATAGTTCTCATTTGTTGCATTCAAATATTTCCATCTTTAGTTTACTGAGTAATAAAAATTTTTAAAATATATTTTAAAGCAATTTTACTATAAAAAGTGAATGTGACTGTATGACATTTATTGAGTATAGTATAAAATTGAAAAAACAAAGAAATACTAAAAACTGTTCAAAATGAAAAAAAATCTGGTACTGTGCAATTCTGGTTTATATAGGTTTTACTGTACTGTACATGAATTAAGAACTATTAAATTAGAGACATATTAAATAAATTTATACCTCATAATAATATAAACTGCTAAGAAAAGTTTTTATCTTTAAAAAATGCTTTTAAAACAGCCTAAAAATAATATGCAATAGCAGACCCAGATTCTGTAATTATAGAATGGAACAAGCAGAAATGATACAGAAGAATCAGTATAAGCCATGGATTAAATATGCGGAAGTATGGCATATTCATAAGGCTACAGAGAGGGTAGGCAATAAATTATAGAGAAAACATCATGGTTTCACCAGCCTGGGTATTGATAAATAAAATTTAAAAGCAAAATTTGTAAGAGGATGCTGAAAGATAGACAGTAATCAGATTGAACTGTAGTGATTAATTCAGCAGGTGCAAGAATAAAAATATAAAAAGCATAATTTAGTTGTTTCTATGCATGGGTTATTTCACTACAGGTAATAGACATTTTATGTATTTTTGATTTTGTCACATATCATACAATATTATGAAAATAACTAATCCACTTTTTTAAATTTCTATTATTCCAAAAATGGAATGTTGTAAAAACTGTTTTTAGAATATGGGTTGCTTTGCTCTTTTTTGTTAAATTATAGAATGTATGTATTTCTGACGAAGATCAATTAAAAGGACTAAAAATGTTTGATTGGTAAATATTTTACTGCATAATTAATTGTTCTGTGTTTGTAGCCTAAAAAATAATAAATAAGTTCAATAACTAATAATACACTTGCAATTATAGTGAAAACTACAAAATATTAATATATTTAAAAATTATGTTTAGCTTTCATCTAATATTTTAAAACTATTATACAATATTTTTCATAATTATCTATATTTCCACTAAAAACTACTAATTAATTACTTTTATGACAGAAGTTTTAATAAAAATATACATTTAATTATGAAAATTTCTGTTGATTTAAATAACAATTATACTTTTTTCTTTACAGAAATATTTCTGGTTTATTTTATTTATTTTCTTCAGTTTTGTGTTAACTCCTAATTTCATTTTTTTTATTCTTTTGATCAATGAATCAAATTGAAACCATCATTCTAATCAAATCAGTAAAATAAATTATTCTCATTTTGTGTTAGCAAATGTTTTAGGAATTAATTAATATCTGTGTTTATTTGATATTAAGTATATCAGACAGATCAAAATTTTTTTAAAAACTTTGTTTTCCCACATATAAATAATAGATTCTATCAATTAAATCCTTATCTGTAGTAATTTTTGCATTATGTATATTTTTTTAGCATTATGAAATGTCTATTGAATTCAAATCTAGCAAACGGCAACACAAAACAATGTTTTCATTATTTATTTGTTAAAATGTTTCTATTTATATACAGATCAGTCAATTGTACAAGAAGCAAAGTCTTACTGAAGATAGTATTCTTTCAAAGATTAGGTAAGAAAAAATCATTTCTTTTATCTTTCATAATTTCCATCCTTCCAATCTCAAAAACTAATAACAACTCATATCATGCCATTTAAAGGTTTAATCTATTATGATATATAAGAAATGTTAAACAACAACTCCATTTCTTGGCTAATAAAAGAAAAGAATAAAATTGGTTTTTACTTTCCCAGTTGTTACATATAACAGAGTGAAAGTGTAGCAATTGGTTAAAAATGACTCCCCAAGATTCTTACATTTTTGGACTCAGTTATCTTGAAATGTCTAGAAATGCAAAAAATTTAGATGTTTCTTCTGCACATATGAATGTTAGTGTGTGTGTGTGAGGAGGCACAATTTTGTTCACCTTTTTTTTAAAGCTTAATATCTCCTGTTTTTTTGTCAAAAATTTCTGAAGTTTTGTAGGGAGATTTGTTTATTAGGGGAATTGATGCTATTACATTTTGGTAATTAAAAATCGAGGGGTGGGGAGTTAAAGGGGGTTGTGTGTATCTCCAGTAGGGTCAAATTTAATGAAGGTTTTACTTGCTATTAGCATTTATAATTTTTTATAAAACCCATCTCTACCATCAAAATTAAGCTTTTTGCCATTTTATAATAGTTAAAAACATAAAAAGTTTTTAAAATAAAATATCATAACAGNATTTAAAGGTTTAATCTATTATGATATATAAGAAATGTTAAACAACAACTCCATTTCTTGGCTAACAAAAGAAAAGAATAAAATTGGTTTTTACTTTCTCAGTTGTTACATATAACAGAGTGAAAGTGTGGCAATTGGTTAAAAATGACTCCCCAAGATCCTTACATTTTTGGACTCAGTTATTTTGAAATGTCTAGAAATGCAAAAAATTTGGATGTTTCTTCTGCACATATGAATGTTAGCGTGTGTGTGGGGAGGCACAATTTTGTTCACCTTTTTTTTAAAGCTTAATATCTCCTGTTTTTTGACAAAAATTTCTGAAGTTTTGTAGGGAGGTTTGTTTATTAGGGGAATTGATGCTATTACATTTTGGTAATTAAAAATCGAGGGATGGGAAGTTAAAAAAGGTTGTGTGTATCTCCACTAGGGTCAAATTTAATGAAGGTTTTACTTGCTATTAGCATTTATAATTTTTTATAAAACCCATCTCTAGCATCAATATTAAGCTTTTTGCCATTTTATAATAGTTAAAAACATAAAAAGTTTTTAAAATAAAATATCATAACAGATGGCACCACAAAATGTTTCCAGAAAAGTTAAACAACTCATTGTTGGAATTTTTAAACATAAATGATGAACCTTGGGTAGCAATGATAATTTTTCTGCCACATTAACTAATTTCTTCCTTTTGGTTTATAAGTAAATTTCTTCTGCTTATATTCAAAATTTGTTAGATTTTTGAATATTAATTAATTAACAAGTAATTAATATTCAGAAATCTAATAACTTCATTTGTGTTCCCCCATTCTTTTAATATAAATTTGATTATTTATCTATCATATATTTTGGATATTACATCTTTTTCCTATTCTGTTTTATGTAGCAACAACACATTATTAACCTGTCCTACGTTGTTCCCGAAAATATTCGTGTTGACCTCATTAACCTGCGTGGGCGATCCCGAATATTTCCGTGTTAACATTGGAACATTTTTGATTCTAGATGTTGCTATGCAACACAATTTTTATATTAAAACAAACTTTTAAAGTATAATTTTTTTTGTTTCTATATTATTCAATATATTTATTTTGTTTGTGAAACAAAAAAAATAATTTTTTACAATACAGTAAACACGATTATTATTTGAAAAAAAAAGAAAATTCAACATAGCGTCACAGGCAACAAATAAAAATTTCAACATTGAATAGGTTAAACATTCAATTAAAAGATTTAAAACCTATTGATGATTCATAAATTCTTTCCCTGAATCATCACTAACATTAATATATAAGACTTTTTAACTTTGTTTTGCATTTCAAAAATATAACAGTAAAAATAGTAAAACTGCTATTTTTTCAAATCTTAATCAAATTTGTAATTAAATAATAATAAATTATTTATTTCAAAGTATAAAAAATATACTTAATATTTAGATTATTTAACTTTAAATATAAATATTGCTCAAAACTAAAACAAAAATTTATTTTTCAGTGCTGATTATATATTATTAACTTTTACTTCTAATATAACAAAATTAATACAAATTTAACTAACAATTTCTGGGAAGATGTACTTCTTGCATATTTGGTTCTGGTGAAGGTTCTTCCATATCCTTTGTCAAATCATCACCTTCATCATCACCACGTAAAGATTTCTTCTTATTACCAATGGCAGGGCTTCGACCACCTCTAAAATATAAAATTATTTCTGTTAATAATGTATGAAAATAAACTTTAATTAAAATTTAACTTCCAATGTATATTATGCTAAATAAATAAATATTATAAAACAATTAGTTTAGTCTTACTTAAAAATTTGCAAATTCTAAATTATTTAAAAGTCTACATATTGTTTTTAACAAAAACAAACATAACAGTGTAGAATAATTCTACAATGTTTTTATGAAAAAAAAAGATACACAGCTTGTTAAGTAACTGAAGTATTAATAATTTTCGAGACAAATGAAATCCCATTATTAATATTGAGGTAGTTTCTGAAGAAATGAATTCAAAGATCAAAGTTAATACTTTGATCTTTGAATTCTAAGAAAATTTCAATAATATTTTTGGAATAATGATGAAAATGCTACATTGATTGCAACATAAATTTTTCATAAGAGCATAAAAAATCTTAATGAAAATAGACATTTTAGGATGAACAGCCATTTTTATTGCCAATGTTGATCAAAGAAAACCAATCAACTGTTAATTCTTATTTAAAATTTTTCAGTTACTTTTTTAGCTCTGAGTGTCAAAACCTTATTAGTCAATGAAAATCAAAATAATAACTACACTTATTACTCTATGTTGAATTATTTATTTTAAAAATTGTATTTTTGACTTTGTTATTAAATTAATTTACTTTATTTAACTTTCATGACTAAAAACTATGTTAAAAAATATAAAATACATATATACATGTATAATTGTGTTTATATAGTCTCTGGGAGAAAAACTAAAACTCTCATGGGTCTGCAATCCATTTTAGGTTGAGAACCATCAATTTATGAGTATACCACTTTCTTTCAAGACATGTTTACAAATCGTATCTATTCTTGCAATGCAGAACAGATGGCCTGTCTGGTAACTAATGCAGTCTATGAAATAATAAACTATTATATTAATTTCACAAAATTGTAAAGATATTTTGTTAATGTTTTGAATTTTTTTCATTAACCTGACAAATACCAATATATGTTACTATTAAAAGATTAATGATTAAAGTTTTGTAGTAGTAAACTAAATGGGTCATATATCATGATAGCCAATCAAAATATAATTTTGATCATAGTAGTCTATAAATGTGATGAGAAAGCAACTTTAGTAACAAAGTCTTTAAATAAACAACTTTTAGTAATTTGTATAAAAAAAAAAATGCATACTGTACTACAATAAATAATTTCTAGGACAAACAAATACTTTTATTTTTTCTCCCATTCAACAAATATCTTGAAAATCTTTACTGTCTAGCAGGTTTTCAGTTTCTCAAATTTTTGTTTTTGGGCTTTCAAAATCATTGAATTTTGAAAATAAAAAATAAATGTATGAACAGTATACTAATTTATTATAATTTACTTAACTTTGATAGGAACATTAATTAAATACTAGTTTTGCATGTTAAATTACATTATTATTTAATAATTTTTTTAATTGAAATTATCAAATAGCAATCAAAGTAGTGGAATTTTTATCAAATTATTTTAAAAATTATTTGAAAGTTAAATAATAAATGAATTTCCTGCTAGAGATAGACAACATTTCCATTTTATATCTTAATAATTAGGTTATTAAAATAATATTTATTTTAATTATTATGAGATGCAATTCAGTCTGTTTCTAACAAAATTTATTAATTTCTGGATTGTTTAATACAGGCACTCCCCTACTTACAAATAAGTTAGATTTCCAAGGTTTTCTTGTAAGTCAAAAACTAACCTACAAAGTAATTTGTATACAGAATAACAGCATATTGTTAGTGTTTGATCCTTCAATGTACTTAATAAAATGCTTTACACTCGTTTATCCGTTGGCTAATGCTTAGTAGCAGGTTTTTTAAACAGTTTTTTTTTTCACCTGAAGCACTTACTTCCATAATATAAAGTTTAGTTTCTATATTAATAGAGCAATATTTCTTGCATTTATCTCCACTGCTGGATTTACTAGTACATTTTGGATGCATTTTTAAATCAATAATCATAAAAATTGCAAACAATGGTGAAAAATACCAACATTACCAACTTCAATGCCACCTCTCAAGCAGTGATGACATGTCAGAATTTCACAAAAATGAAAAATAACAATAGGCAATAGAAATAAATTTGCATTAATTATTTATTAAAAATTTATTATTTATTACTGACCAAAGACTGAGTTCAATGCCATCCCATGAGCAGCAAAAGTACTTTAGAATCTGCACAAAATTTAAATTTTAGATGTACAGTCAAATTGTTTGTAAGTCTGAAAGTTTGTAAGTAGAGGAGCACCTGTATTGACTTTTAAAAAATCTAACAGTCTAATTATCATTTTATTGTAACTTAAGTAGGTTTACATTCCTTTTGTTAAACTGTACTGTTAAAAATATTTATTTTAAATTATTATTATTTTCAAAATTTTAAATTTGTTCAAATATATAAGTACAGTGGGTGATCGGTTAACGAACAGTTTGAATAGTGAACAAATCGGATAATGAACACTTTTGCGAAAGATTTTTATGATCAAACAATGAACACATGTTTAGATAAAGAACACTTTACTGAACAAACAAAAAGAAGCAACGGAAAATAATGAATACTGACTGATTTTCCCTTGTCTTCACGTAACAATTTGAAACCTTTCAGAGCACGGGAGACATCAACATCGAAGCTCAACCCGATACTGATCAGATAGTATTCCTCCAAATTTTGAACTCTCCCTTCTCTCCCTTGTAATTCTAGCTTTTTGTTTACCTTTCTGACAAATAATTTTTATAGTCTTTGTGAGACTGTTGGACAGGTACTTGTTAAATTTTGTGTCAGGGTTTATTTACGAAAGGTGAAAGTTTAACTGTCCCATCGGATATTCATTAACGTTTTAATACCAAATTTCAAATTTCATCTGGGCCTTGCATTTAAGTAATTTTTTGTGGGCTAGTTGATTTCTGTTCTCTGAATTTTTGTAAGTGCTTTTCTGAACTTTTTATTTAAAAAAGAAACTGATAATATTATGGAGCCTAAAAAGAGGAGTGTCAAGAACTGTGCTCACCATAGAAACCAAGTAAGAGATAATAGCCAAGGTAGAAAGTGGGCACAAGATGTCTGATGGTGCTAGACAGTATGGCTTGAACACATCTACAGTAGGCACAATCTTAGCTATGAAAGATATATCAAGAAGTCTCAAGCTGCTAATGGAGTAATGAAAATCACATCTGAGAAATAAAGAGCATTTTAGAGCTCATAATGGAATCTGAAACTGATCAGATGATAGAAGAACTCCAAGAACTCTCAAATGAAGAATACCAAGAAACTCAGTGAGATGTCTTTTCTTTTGAAAAAGAGGAAGACAAAAGAGGTCCAATGTTGACATCTGCTACTAAAGTTCTTTTGAAGTAGGAGGATATCAGAACAATGATCATCCAAGTGTCATCCAAACCAGAATAAGGTTAATGGGGTTGGGGATCTCTACAGTTACAATACTATTAATTACTTCCGAAAAATCCTGAAGAAAAGAGAAAAGTAATTGACATTGGACAGATTCTTTAACCTCCAGAAACAGAAAAAAACACGACTAATAAAAATGCAAGACTGCATATATATGTATTTTTACTATTACAAATAAATAAACGTAGTTCTCCAGAACAAATTAATCAAATTCCCATAAAAACCCATGGTAAATTGATAATCAGTTAACGAACAATTTGGATAATGAAGAAATTCTTGGAACGAATTATGTTCATTAATCGATCACCCACTGTATTGAAATTTTTGTTCAATTAATTTTCTTTGATTGTTCTTTGTCCTACATTCCTGAAATGTGAATATAAACAAAAGTATCTCATTAATTTACTTTATGTTCATATCTTTTTTAATTTCAAACTTAATTAAAGAAGCATTTATTTATATATTTAATGTAAATTACCCTTTTCGTTTTCTTTTGTCCACGGGAGGGGATGGTGATCTTTTCCGTTTCTTTGCACCTTTCTTGTCTCTTCTGTCACTATCACCACAAAGCAACTAAAAGTATCAAAAGTTGAAAAGATGATAATACTATTTTAATTATCAATTTTTGTTATTTCTTATTGAATATACTCAAACTAACTTAATATTTCAAACAAGATTTATACAGTAATAAAATATTTCAATTTAGTTGCATAAACAATTTTTCTTTGTCAACATACTATTGAGAATAGTATTGGAATAGTATAACTATCATGTGATTTGCACTTTTGAAGAAACACACCCACTGCACATGTATGTTTCCTCAAGCATTGTCTAATTAGTTCTAACTTACCTTACTTGCCTTCTTGCTTATATGAAGGAATAATGTGTAGATTGTAGAATGAATACCTTGTATATGTACTGTTTGTTCATATTAAAACAATACTGTTAAAATTTTGGACTTAACACAATCCTTTATAACAACAACAAACACATTATATTAGACAATGCAATTGCAATATAAATGGCAATTGCAAGCATGTATTAGAAGAGTTTAGTATTGCAAGCTTATTACCAAATACTTGAAGAATCACATCCACTTTATGACAAAGTACTGCAAAGTTGTTATTAAGCTTGAAGTTGACCTACAAAATATTAGAATCCCATTTAATGAGAACTTTGAATGAATGTTAATACCTGAATAATGTTCTTCAAGCCTAATTATGCTGTGAACCCTTTTTTTTTGCTTCCATAACTACAAAAGGCAAATTCTTGCAACAGTATTCATTAACAGTATTGGTAAGACTGTGGTGTGAAATAATACTTAAATTCAATGCAACATTATGTATGATAAATTACTTTTTTTTTGCTTTTGGTTTCTCCTTCTTGGTTTATTCTCTATACTACATATGTCTGTTCTCTTTTAATATTTTCATTTTTAAATGAATAATTTTTATTGATGTTTTGTAACCAAATTAATATTTTAATTCTTAACCATCTATAAAATTATGTTATACAAGAAAATTTTTTTATTTCAATTTGTAAACTTAAACGAAAATCTCTCACAAACTGATAATTTCATTTATTCACAGTCCAGCTATCTGAATTTTCTAAAATTGGCAATAAGGTCCCAGTATTAAAAAGTTAAGCACAACTAATATGTAAGAATCAAGTTAAAAAATCATATTGTTTCTGTAATTTTACATTTTGTATTCATTTTAATGTTAACCTTTTTGTTTTGAATCAGAAGTTAAAACTATTCCATAAAATAATTTATAACATAGATTCAATATAATGCTAAAGATAAAGACAGTCATTGTTTTTAATATTGCAGGCAAAAATTCTCCAAAAAATTTCAAGATTATTATTTATATTTTATTTAGTCAAGGTTACTTAAGTTTCATTTTTGATAGAGCTATACTGAATTTTAATGCTTATAAATATCTTTGCTAAATTATGTTTTAGAAAAATTCTAAAAATTAAATAAAATACAGTAGAATTCACAAATTCAGACTAATTGGAGAGAAGCCTAGTCCAAATTAGTGAAAGTCTAAATTAGTGAGGTTTTTACTCAGTGCATATTGTATGATATGAAAAATATATTTATTTAAAAAGTATACTTTTTAAGTTGCACACCCAGATTTCATCTCAGTTCCTCATCAAAGCAGTAGATTGACATCTTAATCATCTCAAACATCTGGCCATAATATGAAACTAACTTTTGTTTACAGTTCCTTTTCTAATTGTTCCTTGATCACATTTTGACACATCTTTCTAAAAGTAAGGTAAAAGTTCTTCAAGCCTGGATCAGACTTGATAAATTCATATTTAAAAAAAAAAATACACGATGCAAAATGGTAGTCTGAATTATTACAAATTCCAAATTAATGAAGTCCAAATTAGCGAGATTTTACTGTATTTTAAAAATCTCGTAATGATATCAAATTCATTCTAAAATCTTAAATCAATTTGGTTTTTCTTTCCTAATAATATAATGTAAACTATTTATGCAAAATCATTTACCTCTTCTAATGTATATCTTGATCTTGACCGTCTTCTTCCCTAAATAAAAACAAATATTAAAATTTAATTAGATGGATTTTGTTATTTATTTTTTAGCATATGATCTATCTAAAAGAAAACATGCCAAAATGTTTAAGATTATTTGATAATTTTTAAATTAAGAAATAAAATCATTTTCAGAAATATTTCTGAAAGTCTCTTTTTCAGAATAGCATACAATTTTATCTCCAGTTATATTCACCCTGTTATTATTCATATTGATTGTTTATGATATCAGAGAAGAAAATTGTATCTGACTGTTTTCATAAAATTTTAAAAAGGTAATTATAAAATAAAAACCATACTGTATCAATTCAATTGCATATTTTTCAGCATATGACTAATGAAATTAGGCATTTCATGTAACATCTAATGGCTTATTAAAACAAAACAGCTAAATGCTTTTCCACTTCTGCATGTTGTAACAAATACAGTGGAACCCTGGTTAATGAACATAATCCGTTCCACGAGTCCGTTCGTTAACCGAAGCAATTTTTCTCATAGAAATTAATGCAAATACAATTAATCCATTCTAGCTGTCAGTATTTTTGTAATTTTATTTGTAAAATGGGTTTTCTTTAATGAAAATATAGGAAAACGTGCTCATAAACAATCAATCTAGGTTAAATTTTCGGAAAAGGGGAAAGATTTGACGGGTATAAAAACATCGCATATGATCGTTAAAGTTCTAAAATGACAGATAGCAGAAACAATAGGCTAAATTATGAGCGAAAGGCTTATAGGTTTATCAACAATCTCTGATCAGAGTTGACGAACAGGTGTCAAATAAACACCTCAGAACAAACCTTTCTCGTGACCTGATCTAGTTTCGGTTTTCACCTGGAGACAAAGAAGAAAACAATCAGGAAGCAAGGAATGGGACGCAGGACTAATCGTAAGGTGACATTCAAGGAAGAAATACTATACAAACCCCGAATCTCAAGGTCAAAACGCAGTTTTCCTAAAAATTCCATGGCGATTAATCTGTGTCGTCTTCATCTGGATTAAGCCTGAAGTCGTGCCTGCTAAAATTTGTGTTGTTGTTTCGCGGACCGCTCCAGTCATTGCAGCTCTGTCACCTACCATCGCTTCTGTGACCAAGTGAACCCATCTCGTCCACTCTGAAGCTATGACTGAGCAGCTTGCACTATTGTAGGACCAGCGATATGCCACACCTCAGTGCCAGGAGAAAATACTGTAAATAAGCCATTTCCAACTACCTCAAATATGTAAGCATCTTCCTGTTCTAATAAACGATTTTCACTGTAAAATACTTGTCATCTTTGTCTCCTCCACCACACCAACGTACGAATGGACACTAGACCATCACCGCCACACGATTAACCAATTTTCCCTAAAAGTCGGCAAGCTTACAAATTTGACACAAAAAGCCGTTAAGTTTGTTATCCGAGACAAAAATTTTCCAAAATAAAAGTTCGTTAACCGATTTGGTCATTAACCAGGATGTTCGTTAACTGGGGTTCCACTGTATCCAGGAATTTTCATACTATAACATTCAATTACTGGATGTGCATCATATATGGTAATTTTTACATATTTTAAGGATTTTTTTTTAACTTAGATCTTTCCATACTGTGGGCAATAAAAGGACCTTTTTCATATTTATCATGGCTGGATTACAAGGGACAGGACCTGACTGCCCATGAACAATTCATAGGGAGTTGTACACCCAGATTTCATCCCAGTTCCCCATCAAAGCAGTAGGCTGACATCTTAATCATCTCAAACATCTGGCCATGATACTTCCAACACTCAATCTATATAGACTATTTACAGTGAAGCATAGTGGTGCCAGCATTAGAAAATAAAATTATGTTGGATTGTTGTCAACATTAATTTTTTATTGCTAGCTTAAGGATTTATTATTTTATGTTTGTAACTAAAGTTACTATAATTAAAACAGAATAGAAATAATTATGCAGTTTAAGTTTTAAGTAGTGTATTTATCATATAGCATTCATTTACATTTCTTCATTGTAAAAAATCATAATCTAGTAACTAGTGTTGTAAGGAACCAAGTCCGAACGTTATTTTTATTTACTTTTATTTTGCTTATTATTCTATTTTGTTTGAGGCTTATGTTTTGTTAGGATGAAGGTTTCCTCACCATTCACCTTAGTAACTTAAAAATAGAAGAAAAACCAACTCACCGACGAAAGAAAAGCGCCGTAGAAAAACTCGCGCACCCTTGCGCTTCCCAAGCGGAAAAAAGTAAGTCCGCACCGAGAAAAGGGGGGAGACCCCACAAGCACAAATTAGGGACTTGCTAAACCTTAAAGAATAAAAACGTCCCGAAAATTGTGAAAAAGAATAATGTAAAAGGTTAACGAGTATTGTCAGAAAAATAGGCTGCCAGACAAACGAAAAAAAAGTTTATTGTTAGCGTTAAGTATGTAAATGAGGAGAGTGATCTCATTCAGAATTGTGACGTCACCTCACACTATAAATCCCGAGTCTCAAGTGAAGATGAAAGAGGTGAATTCCTGATACCGATGAGCTTTGGTGAGCTTAGTAGCAGTGAACGAGAGAGGTGTCCGATAGGATCAAATAGTTCCAAGGTGATTTTGAAGTTATTCGATTTATGGATCGACGATTATAGAAAGTCTTGAGAGTTTGAGGAAATAGGTTCCTAGTATATTGAGGTGACGATTAGGATCTTTAATTTATAAGAATTATTGTTTATAAGTTAATTCTTTGATTTTGTCGAATTCCAAAGGGGAATAGAATTAAGTTAGAAATAGATTGATTTGAGTT